CAGGGGGCTGCTCCAGAGCCGCTGGGACCTTGTGGCAGGGGCAGCTTGGTTGGGGCCAGGGCTGAGCCGTGATCCACTGCCTGCGTGCCCCTGCCCTGGAGCAAGCAAGCTGCACATTGTGGCTCTGCCCTGGCTCCTTGCAGTAGCAACAGCATGGTCCCAAGCCAGGGCACAGCCACCATCTGCTGCCTGGGTGCACCTGCCCGGAGTGTGCAGGCTGTATGTTGTGGCTTTGCCTTGGCCCCGGACCAAGCTGCCCCCTCTGTAAGATCCCAGTAGCTCCAGAGCAGCCCTGTGCCCTGCCCTGCTGAGTGCCCTACCAGTGCTGCTGGGGCCAGTTTCCATGGCAACCCCAGTCTTGCAAGATCACAGCACAGCTGGGGCTGGGGTCTCCATGGAAACTGATCCCAGCCATGCAGGCAGGGGCTGCTGGGAAATGGAGTCCACTAGTGGCCGGATCTGGTCCAGAGGCCAGACTTTGCCCACCCTTGCTTTAGTATATAGCAAAGAAAACAGACCATTTGGTATTACTTGCCATGTTTAAAGTATGGTCTAATTTAACACTTTGAAGTATGACGTGCCTACTCAAACTCACTTTTGTATCCTGTTAATAATGCTGTAAAGGCTAGGCACAAGTGAGCATACCCACATAGGTTTGAATCAGTTGTTTCTGGCCATAGGAGCATGGCCTTGGAAGCAGCATATCTATTTTCTGGTAAATACTTCAATATTTTCCATAAAAGCTAAGCACTTGCCATATTGTTTATCAAGTTGCCTCATGCTTCAGTTTCTCGTAATTTAGCAAAACTTTAGATCCTTTGGGCTGACATTTAACATGCTGGCTCTCTGCCACAGGGACTAGAAATGTGTCATGAATATGTCCTTGCTGTCATTGAGGAAATCCACCTACATTTTGAAACCTTTGAAAAGTACTTCAGCAGCTATATGATCTCTAGTGAGCATGCAGAAAAAAAGCTCTCAAGCGTCCATCCTTCCTGAGTGCGTGCTTGACCCTCACAGCTCCTGGGGTTGCAAGCTTGAACTGCTGGTCTTGCAGAGCAACTGAGCATGCTTCAGCAGCAAGCTATGAAAGCTGGAGATCCCCTGCAGTGGCTGCTCTCAGCTGCTTTGCTGTGATGGGGCCGGCCCTGAAACCAGGGAGTCTGGTAAAATGGGAAGTTGAAGGGAAGAGGGGCTGGGTGGACAAGAATATTGCAACAGGAAAGAGAACCAAGAAGAGTGGTGAAGCTGGGACTGTTTGAATGAGTGTCGAGAGACTGGGACAAGGAGCCTGGTGAGCCAAGGGGAATACTAAGATCCACTTGGCTGGGATGGGACATAAAGATTAGGATGAGGAGCCAGAGAGTGGGGTAGCATAGGCAGAGTGAGACTGGGCAAAGAGCAAAGGTTTGATAATAGGATTAGGAGCTGGAGTGGGGAAAGAAAGTGAATCAGGAGGCTGGAAGAGATGAATACTGAGCAAGAAGATTGGGGTGGAGTATGGCGAGGGACTAAGCCTGGGAGCATATGAGCAAGTGGTAAGATTAGGACTTAAACAGCAAGGCCGGAGGGAGCGATGAAAACAGACTGACGCTGGAATGGAGAGTCTGAGCAGTAGAGACAAATTGGGGGTGGACATGGAGGTATCATGGGGAAGAGGTAGGGGACAGGGCCTGAGGCAGGTTGAATGCATGGAGCAGAAAGCTAAAAATGGATGAGCTGGAGAAGTCTGCCTGCTAGAGCATACTTCCTCCAAAGCTTGGCCTGAAACCTAAGATTCCCAATGCCTGCCACTTCTCTGCTTCCAGCAACTACCTGTGAAATCCTCTGGCAAAGTGTGCATCTCCACCCTTGCGCTGGTGTATGTAAGCAGTAGTAGGTTGTCCTCTTCTGAGCTGATTCCTTTAGGTCAAGTATGAGACAAAGGTCTGGCAGAGCTGAAGCAGCTTCTGCGCCTCCTGCTGTACAAGGCAAGTGTCAATGCAGTGCCACTGCTGGAACTTTTTGAAAGTGGTTTTTTTTTTTCAGTTTGCATTCAAAAAAGGGAAACTCTTGACATCCACATGCAAAAAATAATAATTGTTCTGATCACCAAGGCAAGCATTCGGCTGTCACAAGTGCTGTGTTTTGAATGCAGTAAGAGCCAATTGCTCTGAAAAATCAGGTTCTAGATGCCTCAAATCAGGCATCCAAAATCAATGCATTATTTTTAACTTGACTTTTTCTGTTTATCAGTCTGATTTGTAACATGAGGATACCACCGCAGCACAGGGGCACGGTAAACATAAGTTAATGTTTGGGTACTCATGCCATAGGGATGAGTGCCTGAGTAAAACTGAGGACACGAGATGCTATGGTTGGAGTGCTGTTGTAGCCTTGATGGCCCAGGGGATGTATGAGGGGACGTTTGTTTTTTGATGATAACTTTTATTGAACCAACTGTATAGTCGGGAGAGATGAATAATTCTGTTTTGAGAATTCTGGTCTATTAAAGACCTAGAATATTAGTCAAGACACTAAGCCTCTGGTTCTAGTCTTGTTTTTAGGAAAAGCAGATTAGGCATCTACCTATACAGCACATCATATTATAACAGAATGGCTAGGTGGGTCTTTAAACTTCCACCCAAATGAACATGAGTAACCGTTGCATGCTCCATCTCAAGGGTAGCACCTTTTCCATTGCACTATCCTTTTACTACTACACTGCAGTGTTTTTTCAATTAACAGCGGCCCAATTAAACTAGGAAAAGCCAGGGGGAGACAGATGTAGTAATGGTGAGAATGGCAAAGGAGTGATCACAACTTGAGCTGTATAAAAATGATAAAAAGATGAGTTTTCCTGTGGAAATTGAGGTCCGCTTTTTCCCTTCCTCTCCTATTCAGA